AAAAAAAAAAAAAAAAAAAAAAAAAAAAAAAAAGATGATTTAATGGCCACAATGTAGGAAAAGAAAAAACAATAAATGGCCACGATGTAGGGAAAAGAAGTTTATCCACACTCAGCCTTGCACAAAACCTCTGAAGCAATGGGAAAAAAAGGCTGGATGGGTCACCCCAATCCCAGTAAATTCCTTGAACGTGGAAGTTGGAGCAGGACTCACCTTCTCAGCCCAGGGGTAGCGGACGTGGGGGCTGCCCCAGTCCCGGCTGATCTGCCGCCGGTAGCCGTGGCACTTGGGGATGTAGGAGCAGGACACGTCCCCCACGTTGGGGTAGATCACTTCCAGCTCCCCTCTGGAAAAGAGGGAAGGGCGTGTGAGGTGAGGATTTCCCAGAGGATGCCCCGTCCCTGGAAGTGTCCAAGGCCAGGCTGGGCAGGGCTGGGAGCAAACTGGGATAGTGGAAGGTGTTCCTGCCCGTGGCAGGGGGTGGAACAAAGGGATCCTTAAGGTCCCATCTGACCAAACCATTCCAGGATTCTATGGAAAAGCAGCCTCCTTCCCCCTGGAATTTTCCCCGGGAAACATCCTGGTTCTGTAAAAGCCACTTTTAAAGCCCCCCACACGACAGGCCAGGGAATAACCTGAGGTGGCCAGAAACAGCCCAGATTCCTGGGAAAAAGGGATGCTGGAATTACTGTCCCAGGGGGTGACACGCTGGACGCTGAGGGCAGCCCGTGATGGGATGTCCAGGGCTGGTGCAGGTGAGGAAGGACACAGAGCACCACTTACTTGCAGAACACCTTGTCCGAGTCGTTGAGGGTCTGGAAGATGCAGGTTCGGGAAGTGTTGTTCCCCCGGACACCGGTGAGGAACAGGCTGAGAGCCACCAACACGGCGCTCAGGAGCCTCATCCTGCCCTGGGGGACAGAGGCACAGGCAGGGTCAGTCCCACAACCCCCATCACTCTCCAGTTCAGCTCCCAGCCCAAAACTAGCCTCAGGAAAAGTCCTCACGCACCCCTTTCCTCTCCAGTTCCACAACTTTTATCCCGGTTACCCCGCTGGCAAGCAGCGAGCACCCCCCAGCAAGACCCCCCCAGCATCTCATAGCACCCATTTCCACGAGGCTGGTGCATCATCAGCCTCCACGTGGAGCTGGGGATGTGCCCATGTGGTGACACAAGGCTCAGCACCACAGTGACACCTCGCTCCCAGCCCAGGCAGCTCCAAGAGGGGACAGACCCCCCGTCTCCAGGTGCTGGCCCTGCTGCTCTCCCTAACACGATGGAAATTTGGGATCAGGCTTGCTCACGGTCTATCCAAGACCATCACCAAGGGACACACAACCAGCCACCACACCCTGACACATCCCTGGCCCCAGGCAGGGTCTCTGAAGGGGGAGCAGCCCCAGGGTTCACCCTGAACCCCTCCACCCCCTCCAGCGCCAGGGCAGAGCTCTTCCCGCACGAGGCCGGCCATGGACAGCCAGGTTTAAGCCACACAGAGCCTTGAGGACGAGGAGGGACGGGGTTTTATCCGCCCACCCGCCCTGCCAAGCCCAGCTCCAGCCCTTGCCTCCCCAGGCCACACCAGGACCCAGGGGCCAAAAGGGCCACCACCACCACCGGCCCTGCCCGAGCCACTTACCAGGGTCCCGGGGACGGCTGAGCGGCTCCGAGGCAAAGCCTGGAGGTTTGAGGTTGCCGTGGAGATGGTTTCCTTGGAAGGAGGAAGGGAAGAAGGGACCGAAAGCAAAAAAAAAAAAACACCCCCCCAGAGAGAGAAGGGGCAGCTCTCGGTGCTCGAGATCCGCCAACGGGTTTCAACCCCCCAACGGCCCCCAACGGACCCAACAGCTCCGGGGTCCTCACCGGCCCAACCTCCCCCTCACACCCCACACAACCCCCCTCAAACACACTGGAAGCTTCCTAGCTGATTAGGG